GCGCAGAGGAAGAGGGATGCTATTCTAAAGGATCTGCGAAATCAGAAAGAGGAATCAGACATGCTTGAAAGAACTCGCAGGGAGTAAGTTTATTAAATCTAATTACAATAAATTCGAGAAGGGATCGACACAACATCTTACGAAATCAAAAATGGAGACAGCTCGAGATCGAAATTTCTTCGTTGCTTTTAGGGTTTCTTTATCAGCATTCCTTTCCTTCACTATCTTTTGAAGAACTGCTTCTCAGTTCTTGCTTGCAGGCTAATAATCATTTTTCCTTAATCTTTCTGCAGTATGATTTTGGACCGCGCCTTTCGCCACCAAGAGCGTGTAGACGTTCGCCGTTCACTGGAAGATTCCTGGGCAGCAAGTGTGTGTCGGAAAAAAGATCAAGAACATGAAGAACGCCGCCGTGCACAGAGTCCTGGCATGCTAATACACGAACAGTGCGATAAATATCACCGGTGCAAACAGTGTGGCAGGCGACCTCAGAACTGCGGTGAATCGAACGTGTGGAGCGAATCACGATACATACCTGGATCAAGGCTCATAGTTTAGAGCGCCTCTATAGGATGAATTTCTTGAACAATTTTCACTGATTAAACTACAGACTGGAAAACACGAAAACAAATACGAACACTTCGCCTTAACCTTGCTGGAAATGTGTGGAATTATTTATTTATTATTGTAATATTATTTGTACAATTGTGAAGATACGATTGTGACGAAAAGATCGGACTCAAATCTTTTGAATTGAAGGCGAAGAAAAGACAGGACGATTACTTGCGCTTACAGATCAAAATTCCTTCTATCTTGATCGTTTTTAATTTCTTTTTGTCTAAAATGTTTTTTTTTAGAGGGAGCACGTGTGATGTACATTTTGATATCTCTACCGTTTATACAATGAAAACTTTACAAGGAGGTAACTTGTCGATGTTAGAGTGAATGTTAGCACAACAGTTTCCAAGGCACTAGCACGCTCCACTTCCAGATAGCACCAACGACGTAGTATTATCTCGAATAACTCGTGGATCAAGGAAAGTCACCCAAGGACTATTCTAGTTTAATTCTTCAGTAACGTACTTCACACCGTGTGATGGCAAGCATGTTCAGCTTATTAGCTCTGCTTGGATACAATTTTGAATACCGTCAATAAAACAATCATTGATTAACTCTTTTTGTTAGAGTAGTGATTCCAATAGAAAAAATCGAATATGGTTGATAATGCCTTGTTTGAATTGGTCGGTGGACGTTTTTGTTGGTTTAAAAGCAATTGCAATCGTCGCGGAGTATTAAAGAATATCGAAGGCATTTTGTTTAACTTACAATGATGCGTCCCAAATTTGCGCGTGTAATCTTTTAAAAAGGTCGGAGACATTCCTATTTTGGCTAATACTTTGACCTCAACGGGCGTTCGCTGCGGGTTTTTTCTTTTCTTTACGACTCATTCTCTCGAGAGGCACTCTTGGAGTTGGATACATTTATTATTTTTTGTGATTGGTAACCTTTTTCTTGCGTTGTGAGAAGAGTTACCTCGGTACTTAACCTGTTAACTCTCAGAAGTGATGAACATGTAACTTCTCCTTATAATATACACACATTATCCAGCAAACAGGTAATGAGAATCTGTACTCAAACTTGTCAGGTAGAAGTTGTCATTTTGATCAATTTTGAGTCCTCGTAACTTATTTACGAGGAAATGTGTAATAGCTGGAGAGAAGAATTAACAATCAGATCTTGGGAGTTGAGAGTGAAGGATTGGTGACACACATAGACACTCCATGGATTAACCAAGTACAGCCTGAAGTGTTGAATAAAGAGACCACTTTCAATAAACAGAAACATTTTCTTTGATTTCTTAGACTCTCCATGAATGAAATGACGTCACCAGATGTTGCGAATGCTACTGATGTTGGTTGTCCTATTCTCTTGGAACAAGGCCATTTGTCTCCTAGCCAGCTCAGATATTTCCACTCAGATTAAATAACTGAACTCGCTTTTAATTCAAATCGGCTATGGTAATGTTCTTAGTTCTTCCACTTACTGCTGTGCTGCCCGGCCTGTCAAATTCTTCCCGTCCTTTCCCACATGGTCCAAATGAATGAAGAGCTTTGTACTAATGACCAGTCAGCTTGTCATTTACCCCGGAAGCTATGTTACGTAAGCCTACATTCTTGGGCTTGTAACGCACTGTATT